ACATGGGTCAGCCGGTTTTACTGTCCATCCGAAGGATTTTTTCGCCCTTAAAAATCCACGGCTTCGATCGCGTTTGAACCCGCCAACTTGGGTACAACAGTCCTACCGGCTAACCGTTACCTCAAATTTAAGCAGTATGTTTAAAATAACATTACGCCTGTAACACCAACTCGATGACTCCTTGGGCGAACGCCTTTGGCGCTGCCCTCAATCCCACGATGGCTCGTGACCACACACGTGGCGGCGCGTGCGCGGGCCCCGGAGCGGGAAGCGGCGGCGGCGGCGGTGGGGGCGGCGGCTGTGCCTGGCACAGCACGAGCGGGGGTGCGCATCGACCAAACGCAGATTTGTGACCGAGAATAAATTACACGGAGCGAGCGGGTCGTCGCTGCATTGGGGTCGCGACCCGCCCAGACGGATTCATTCGCCGCGACGCGACGCGACAGGCCGGGGATTCGTATGTCACGCGGAAGAGAGTCACCAGTCCGTTCTTCAACAGGGATCCTCTAAGGGGGTGTTTCTACATTGAACTCTAGAGCACCTCTATGCGCACCGAAATACTGCGTGAACGTGTTCAATCGATTAGCTTAGTCATGTATGATAACAGGTGTAAGGGGCATATATCCTCTATTTACGAGTAGTTAAAGTAGGAGCGAAACTAAGTAACTGAACCGTTCCTATGCATTACTGATTTCTAAAAGTGCTTGCTCATTACTTCTTCTAGCTTCGTAGTACTTCTGAAACGACAGATTAGTGAACACAAATAACCAGAAACATATAGTGAAATTCACATCCACGCTGAGAAAAAACTTTAAAGAACATTACGAAAATCCAACGTTTCTCACACAAGTCCAAGATGATAGGGGAAGGCGGAGCAGAATGCTCTTGTTTACTTACCTGTCAGTTTGTGTCACGCTTTTCATGCACACACGAAATCGTTCTACACATCTAACGTTGCATTCTGCCACGTTCGATTGCTCGACTGAAGTTAGTGTTCTCCTGTCCCTTCAGTTTTCAAAGACTGTATTGTCTGGTTTCCGTCATCGATCTCCTCGGAAGACCAGGCGAGATGCGACCACGCGAAAATATCGTTCCACACTCATTCACACGCAACCCGACCCGTAGGGCATAGATTCTGAATTTCAGAGCGGTAGCAAGAGCCATTTCCGTTCCACAGTCTACGCTTTGCTTGCCTGGACGAAATTTAGAAGGTGCGATTAATTTATAATTCTTTGTTGTTTTTGATCTGATCCCAGATTCAAACTACTGGTTGTACAACTGCACACACTTTTCCGCATTAGTACCTATTACGTAATATAATACTAATTGAACAAACTAAAGTGTTTGCAACCGGCAAAAATATTTGCCCGGGCTCGGATACGAACTTCTGCGTGTAGACTTCGCAAGCACTCGTCTTAAGGAGGTTGTCTCTAGTCGGCTGAACGAAAAGTTATAGTTATGGAACGTGCTTCTTAAAAAATTAAGAACGAGTGTCAAGTAAATTATTTCTGTATATTGCGTCAATTAGTATATTTTAAATGATATATTAAAAAGTGTTAATTATTTTCAAATCCAAACTAAGAAGCTAATTTGACTCGAAATGCTAGCATTAAGTACTGAACATACGGGAATAATGTATGTTTATGTATGACTGCATCTCTCTTCAAATTTCAGTTATCTTATAATTCTTACATATTACGTAAATGTTTCTTTTTAAAGAATAATATCTTTAGATAGCATTTAACTCCTTCGGAGAACCGATAACCTTCAGGCAATAAACCTGGCAGCGCTTTATATTTATCATATTGATACCAAGGGTTTACGTAGTCGGGAAGGTCTAGAACGCAAAGAACAGCGATTTTAAGGAGTTCCGACTTCGGTGCTGTAGGCTACACTCATGTTTTTTCTTGAATAAACAAAATACAAAAAGTCTACATCATATTAATCAACACTCATTTCCCTCACTGCTAACTGGGAGTTACAAGGTAATTTGCAACAACATGAAGTTAAAATCCTGCATTAGGTTACATATGAGGTTACGGTAAAGGCCCCGAAGGCAATGAAGGATCATCCAAGTACACCATTAAAATAGTTTATACCGCATACGCATGTTAGCTCACTACGCAATGCCTTCAAACCAGCCTTGCTCAGTTTCTCAATATTTAAAATTCCCGCCGAGCTTTTTTTCGTTCGTACGAAAAACTGATGACTTATTTTGTTTTTGCGTTCATGTCCAAACTACACGGTGAAATATTTTTATTCCACTTCTTTTCTCTTTAGAAAGGTACATTTATAACATTTCTCCATCATGTAATCTTATGAAGAAATATTTCAAATTTAATTATTTATGGTCGGATGAGATCATTTTCCTATACTTTGCGTGTTAAAACGCACGTTTTCAAAATGTGATTATCTTTTAAACTACAAGGTAGAATTTTTTCATATTTTAACAAAGCATGTGAAAACATCTATTATTTTAATAAATTTCAGTTGCAACGTTTAATCTTATTTTTACATTACGTGACAACCACAATCTGTTACACCACCACCGAAGGCTGCTGACCTCTAAGAATGCTCTCAGTGTCAGTGTCAGCTCGTGTTTCGATAGCACGGCTGCTCAACCTCTCAGATAACCCTAAATCACTTGTATTTTTTGGAATATATATTTTCTATTTAATTGCATTCAATACTCGAATTATTGCAATAATATTGCCGTATGAAATTATTTTGAAATCAAAGAGTACCTGTCGAATTGTCTGAGAACTATTTAATGAGAACTTAATTCATATTTTGAAAAAAACAAAAACAAACAATTATTGGATGTTTCATTATTACCAACAGCATTAATAACAAAAACTATTGAATGAACTATAACGAGTTTAAGCAGAATATTACTTGTTAAATGGTGAAAGTGTGATTACAGTTAACTTGGAATCCCAGCCAGTTTTTATTTTGTATAAATTTTATTACGGCACGGTGTGTAATGAGGCAGGGCACTTTTAATCCAATTTTTAACCCTTTTTTGGGGGGGTTCGGGACAGGTTGATTCGTTTTTCTATTTAAATTTTGTTTTTTCAGTACCAAGGGCATGCAGAATGTGAATTTTGACTATGTAAAGGGGCAAGAATATAACCCACTCTTTAAGTAAAAGAGTCACTTTTTCGTGGTTTCTGTCGAAAAATTCGGCACCTTTCCCTGCAGCATTTCAAAACTTTATCTCTATCACATGGTATCCAAGATAGTAAAAATGTGATTAATTTACAATGATGTTTTTTGAGAAAGTTTATGGACTAGTAATTAATGGATTGAGAAAAACAGGAAGTAATTTCAGGAAGCAAAAATGTACATGGATTAGATGGAATAATTCTCAAAGAATGAAGAAATACAGTTTTTATTCAGTATTGAATATTGCAATACACTAAATACTAATGAATCAATAAGGCCTTCGTTTTAGATGTTCTATGCATTAACAAATAGAAATCATTTGATTTCTGAGGCTTCTGTGCATACAATTAGATTGGATGAAATATCACAAGAAAATGTCAATTATCAATGTGACCCACTATGATTAATGATAACAATACATGAAGAACAGTTATCACTAAGTTCTAATTTTCCATGTGTAACATCCAAAACTATACCATCCATCAATTCCATTCATTCTTAATACAAAGGTGTTGCACATTCAAATATCTTAATATATTCTTTCTCTATAGTTGTATTTACTTAGTAAAAATAAAAATAATAATTTAGTCAATTTCCCACTTTCAGGAGCAAACCTTGAGACTTAATAGGTAAAATAAAATCACATCTGTTTGTAAAATAATATTAATCTGTGTTACACGTCTAACATAAGATAGGAAAATAAATAGTAATGAAGTTGAGTAGAGTTGCTAAAATTGAACTTTCTCGCATTCAAATCACTTTTGGTTCACACATATACATTCAAGAGAAAATATTTAAATCTGAAATAATACATTTCCATAATTATTAATTATTATAATTTATTATCTGCTACATTTCTATATGTGTTTGAATAGTAGAAAAAGCAAATAGACACCAAGATGGATAAATATTTATATTATATATTTAAAAAAGAGAATGTTAAAATCACACAAGTTGTTGAGAAGATGAACAATTATTCTCTAACACCAAAAGAAGAAATTCATGTAACAATCTTAACAACAACAAAATGTATGCATCAATAAAACAAAGGATCAAATATATCCATACAATATGTTATCAAACAACATTGACACAACCTTTGCATCAAAAACACTCTGAAATACAGAAGAATCTTTGATGAATGTTTAATATCCATTAATAGGACAATATTACATATTGTCTTATTCATGAATGCCATACACACGCGCACACACACACATATGCACACACACACATACACAATCAATAAACTAACACAAATTCATTTATACAACCACACATATTGCTAATGCACCAACAATGCATTTGTTCATAAATATAAGAAATTAAGTATCACTTGTTTAGAAAAAAAAATTATGTAAATGTGATAAAACATATTATACACAAGATATGCATAAGAAAATTAAGTAGTAACTAAATTATTATTTTACAACAGAAATTAAATTGAACGGATTAATGATAAAACAAATCAATGACAATTACCAATTAATACCTAGTAATTTAGTAATAACTGAATGTTTGTGCACCATGTATTTCTCCAAATTATTTATGTTATTTGCACATAGGTAATATATAATATAAAATCAGATCTTGCTCAATTCCAAAACTTTCATGACTGAAAAAAAACCACAATAATACTAGACACAAAATTTTTGTTTATTGTACATTATTTGCATGCCTACACATCTATTCTCCAAGATAAATTCTACCTTGTACTGGCCATCCTGCATGGTGTTTTGTCCTGTATAATCTACATCTAATCATAATGGATGACTGAGTTTAAAGCGTATAGGTATTATTGTTATTATTCAATCATTAGAAAATAAAATTCTCCTTCAAATTGGTCCAAAATGTTGTGCTGCTTGTTGTTCTTCTATACACATAGATTTTTTAATATACACAAAATGACAAAAAAAATCAATGTAATATGTACAAGTTACTTCCTATATATAAGGTAATTTTGATGCTAGTGTATTTTCCACCTGCAACAAGAAAAACAAGACACAAAATATGATATTAGCACACATTATTAAAGTATATTTTATTTGTACCAGTTGGTACAAATTTAATCATCATTTTGAGAACATTATTAGAATTTGATTTGAAATTGTTTAAGGGTTATGTAGATACAGAACTTTTATTAAGTGTAACTTCTAACAGAGCTGTTCTGCTCTGTGATTAATTTTCTTGACAGAACATATTTGAAGAAAGGCATAAAAGAGCTGATGTGATTCAAGAACCTAATTACATATGAATAAAACAATTTTTTTTCAGAAAACGTCAACGGATGATGCAAACGTAAAATTCTCATACGAAAACGAGTACAGAAATTGGAAGGAGTAATTGCCGGATTAAATTCTAGAAAAATGAAACGAAACAGCCAAGGAACTGCGGTGTGGTTTATAACAGGAAAGGTAGCTGGGTGAAGAGGGAGGGAGAGAGTGAGGAGGAGAGGGGGGAGGAGGGAAGGGGGGAGAAGAGGAAGAGAGGAGAGAGAGGGGGGAGAGAGAGAAAAGAGATGGGTAAGAAGAGGGGAGAGAGGAATGGGGAGAGAGGAGAGACAGGGGAGACGGGAGGACGAGGTGGCAAGGGAAGAGGAGAGAGGGGAGAGAGAGGGGCGAGACAGGAGAGGAGGAAGGGGGTGTAGAGACCCATCACAGGCTCATGTTCATCTCTTGAACTTACATTGTCATCAGAAACCTTTTTCCATATTCTTTTCAAGTGAAAAAACGAAAAAACAAAAAGCAAATATGTATCTGTTTACCTCAAAGGGACGTAGAGTACGGTATAGAATTTGCCTGACCAAATACCTACTAAAACAAAATATTCTCCAGCAACGAGCTGCATATTTAGTTCGTGTCATTTTTGCAATTAATCGTGTTAAAAAGACCACGAAACACTAGCCGATTTTCTGCTCCCTTGCCCTAGCGACGGCGTGGCGTGGCGTGGCGCGGCGCGGCGCCGCGGCGCGGCGCGAGGGCGGGGAGGGGTGGGGGCCCGGGCGGGTGACGAGTGCAGGACAGCTCGGGAGGTCATCGCACGTTTCCCTGAAGCTGGCGCCCTCACAAAAGCCTCATTACCGCAACGTGATTGAGGGAGCACGCGGCCCAAAAAAGCCGGCAGGCGCTACCGTAGAGAGCGAGGAGGGGAGGGGGGCGTGCCCGCCGGCGGAGGCGCTCGCGCGTGCTCGGGCTCGCGCTGGGCCTCACGCGCGCCGAGATGGCCCTTTTTTGGACGCGGCTGGCCCCGGGCGGGATGCTGCGGGATGCTGCGGGACGGGACGGGACGGGACGGGACGGGACGGGACGGGACGGGACGGGACGCGACGCGACGCGACGCGACGCGACGCGACGCGACGCGACGCGCTGGCCACACAGCTCGGCTCTGTATTGCACCTCCTGAGGATGGCGCAGCTCAAAACAGAGAGGAGAAAAAAAGGGGAGTACACACGAGAGACATACAGATGAGACTTGCAAAGACTAGAAACATGGACATTGATCATAACAATTCATACTAGCAACCCTTCCCCAAACAAATCAGAATTTTTTTTCTATAACCGGGCTTCCCAACATCGTCCATATCGACACAATGGAAGTCGTTTTATTTGTTTTTTGTTTGCTTGTTATTGAAGGTCGCATCAACTTCTAGGTCATTAGCGATCACTATTGCTTGTAACGGTATGGTAACTGTCAGGATAAAACGACTTGATGATGATAGTGGGTGAAAGGACGAACACAATACAATCATGCCCGAGGCGGGACTCGAACCCGCGATCCTTCGGTCCGAGATAGCTATGGCACTACTGCCTTAGCGATCTCGGCCACCGGATCGACGATGAAATTTTGATGGGAGTCAAAGAAGATTAAAGGGACTGAGTGGGCGTTGATGGCCAAATAAGAACTGGCGATAGGCATTATAATCAAGATCAAGATGCCATTGACAACAAAACTAGTGGGATTATGCGGAATATCTTCCTCTTGGTGTTATTACTCAACAATTACTCTTCTTTTAATGTATGACAATTAAAGATTTACAATTGAATGAAATTATCAAAAGAAAAAAAATCCAAGCTTCAAGAATCAATGTGGTTGAAAAATCGCTTGAAAATTTGAGACATCTTAAAATGCCTATGAGCAACAAAGCACGCCGGAAATGATATGTGCGGGATATGGCAGTAGAAAAGTTCTACATATTCACTATACAGAAATTAGAAAACACCACAAACATCGCTTTATATCGTTCAGTTTTAACCTCGAAGACTAATGAAATGAGGAAAGTTTACAAATTCTGGAACTATTACAATCTCTATTCACTCAGATCACAGAGTTGAGCATGTTTATCCAAATGTTTGAAATATTTTATATTTACACAGATCTATACATGTATATTGTAAAAAACTAGGGCAAGGAAATCCAGCAGTGATGGACCACATACAATGCCTGAAATTATTTTGTGAAAGGACACCACACGATTCGGATTCAGTCAGACGATTGCTACACATTGCGTTAAAATACACTCTCTATTCTTCGCATTTAAAAACACTTTTCGAATTTTTGAAAAAATTGCTAATTTGCTAACAGTAACATCACACTCATATGTTTTCTCGAAAAACAAAATCTACAGCTCTCAATAGATCTATTACAACTCTAATAAATAATGAACAAAGGAGAGATTAGCGTTCATTCGGTTAATTTCCATTTTATTAAAATTTAATGCGTATAGTATACGACAGATTAATAACAGCAAGCGATGAATCATCCGGGGCCCATTTACTTTCATTTAATGGAAAAATCACGAAATTTGAGTGGAGAGCTCAAATTTCTTACTAATCGAAAACCCTAGACGTTTTAAATAAAAAGTGTTTTACAAATTTTTAAATATCAGAAGTTTTATTGAAAATTGGAAATGTTCCATATTTATAAATGCATTTGTTCTATTCGAGCAAGGCAATTCACGAAAAAAACATAAATTTGAAAATTTTGAAAATGTCTAGGGACTTCATGTAAAGCACCCTCAAAATTAAAATATCTTAATAATCTCCTGAGAAGCACACATAGATCTGAGTAATTTCCCAGTTTTAGCTCAAAAGCTTATAATCTGACAGAAGTATACGTGACACATTCATTCATCCATGCATAGTACGTCCCATTTTTTCCCTCTTTGAAGGAAACAAGTGTGTAAGAGTCTCGTGACATCCATGTTTAAGAGCCAGTCTCGCCGCATCCCGCAGCGCGACTATCAAGGCCGTATCGACCCCTCAGACGAAGAGCCTGCGGAGTGTTGCATAGCGCGGGCCTTTTTAGTCCAAACGACCACGTCTTTTTGCGGCGGCCGATGTGAAGAGCACGATCGATTCGATCACGTTTCCCGTGGACGGGCGATCGACTGGACTCGAGCGAAAAAGCGCATCCCGCCGTTCTGACACCTCGGAGCGAAGACAAAGCGGGGCAGCGGGCCGATTCGAAGAAGGGAGCGGATGAAGAGAAACGAGTGGCGGAAGAGAATGAGAAGAGTTACCCCCTGAAAACGATTAGGCAGGCCACAGAGCGGAGGTGGAAGAGGGCAGATTCATAGAAGGAAAGGGATGCACATGGAGGAGGAAGACTATGAGAACGACGAAAACAAGCAGGCAGAGGACAACAACGCAACCGAATGAGGCAACGGCGACGAAGGAGGCGGCGGACGGACGTATGGTGGGACCCCCGCGCCTTTGGCCTTCTGAAGACCTCGCGGCCGCGGCACTGGCGCGGCGTAAGTGAGGTTACTTGCGGGGTCACAGCCAATTCGCTTAATCTAGCCGGGGCGCGCGACCCGCCCACACACCGCCGCCGCGCCGCAAGCGGCCGATCCGTCAATTAATCGCGCCCTCAAGCGGCGCTCAAGTGGCGACGGCCGCCGCGCGGCTAAAATTAGGCGCACTGCGCACCGGACCCCCGCGCGAGCATGCGGCCAAATCCAGAAGGTCCACGGGGAAGACAAGAGGGCACGGCAAGAGACGTAGCAGAAATTATATCAACAGGAAAGGGGCAATATACTCCAAATATTGCCCAAAACGCTTGAGTCCAAGGACAATAAACATAACTGGATGAGATACCGGCTTTACGAATGATGGCCGAGGCACTAAATACCAACAGGTGATAGCAAGGGGGGGGGGTGCACGACAACCCACAATTAAGACGGAGTGCAGGTGTCGCAAGGGAATCGATAATGTAAAGAGGGATTAAGATGGAGTTAGGCCGGTCGGAGAGGAGAGAGAAGAAAAGAAGAGCAGAGCAGAAATGAGAGAAGAGCAAAGGAGAGAAAACGGAGGAGATGAGGGCAAACGAGAGGGGAGGAGAGCAGAGCAGAGCGAGGGAGAACGAGTGTTGAACACGTTGCGGAGGTGCGGACCGGAGTGACGGAAAGCACAGGCGACGTAGACGGCGGAGGAACGAGCGAGCGAACACAACACCGACACAGGCGGCGGCGAACGATGGGCACCGCGGTGCCCGGGGGGTCATGAGCCACGCCGCGCCGCGCCGCGCCTCGCGAACCATTCGACGCCAGAGCCACTGCGCGATCGCTATCTGTTGTCGCGGCGGTGACAGGCCCCTCGCGAACACATCCACGGGCTGGTACGCTGTCAGGAGGTTCTCGGGTATGAGGCGGGCCGGCGTTGCTCGTACGTGAGAGGAAATCGACCCACAAGGCCACAACGTATCCAGGATAGTTGTCGAAAGGCAAGCACTTGGTGAATGGGAAAGGAAAATAACGAAGTGTATTTTTATAAACAGTAAACAACACTGGGCCAGTGGAAATTCGGAGCTTGTGTAAGGTCAAATCGATTCGGAAATATCAGTTTTGGAGAAAATTGACTAAACTGTTTAGGCGCTAGTGTTGACCAGAGACGGAGGCATTTGCCGAAAACCAATTTGTCGGTATCAGGGACTCAATACATAAATCCAGACTACATACCGTGAAATTTAATAATATGTTATGTGAAAAAATTGCCGGTTTTGAGCCAGCGTTGCAATACTGCTCTATACCACGTAAGTAGTACGCAAGAAAGTAAAGTGGATGGACTAATATTGACTATATCGCACTACTCCTGATGTTCCACCCACAATAAATTAAATTTCTTTGCCTATCAGTCGGGCACAATTTACGATACACTCAAGTTCAATATCACAAGACCAGAAGAAGCTGAATTAACATAAACAGTTTGTCTACAAGTTGTATTTCCTACTCCCAAATCCGGCCCAGCGTGACTGGTCGCGATAGGTTGAACAATAGCAAATTTGGTTACGAAGTCTCACTCGACGTTTGTACGTCGTACGTGCTCTCCCGTTGAGGCTATTATCAATAAAAACCTGTCAATTGTCGATGGATTAAAAGGTGTTCCTTCAACATCTTCAATGAAGGGTCCTGAGAACTCACTAAGGGGAAGTGTTACGCATAAAGAAAGGAATATATACATTGCGGGGCCTACTACTCTTCACATCTTCTCTTTACCAAGACTATTCCACTCGTTAAATTAAAACCAATAATGTTTAACTATTCATACAAAATGCCCCAATCAGGGCGGTGTATCGCGTGGTGTATGAAAACGTTTATCGCTTTCTCAAACCGATTTTTCTTACCCAAACCGTCTCCTCACTACATCTATCTCATAGACAGGAATGGACCCTGCGTGATCTATCACGACACACAATTACATGTTTATCAGGAGGATTTCTCCCCGAAGTGAGCACCTAGACTTTTGGCGTTTATACGCACCCACATCAGTGCAAGAAAACCTTCAGCCCGGAGGCTGAATCCTGCCAGAACGATTATCCTTCACGGAAACCTTCCCATAGAATGTCTGTGTCGGGCCGCCCGGCTAGCTCAGAGCTACTACCTCTCCAGGCCAGTACCGGAGACGAATCAATGCGCCGAGATAAGTCCCTCCTCTATGCCCAGAGTATCGGGTCAGTTCCACGACAAAGTCAAGTCCAACTGCCCCCCCCCCCCCAGGGGGGCACACGACCACCAAGCCGTCTCCTCATTGCATCCACCTTGAAGCTATCGACGTGAGTACCGCCGGAACCTAGGCAACCTGATAGGGAGGTTCATGTTACCGCCTGGACGTTTACGTATGGGCTTGAGACCCGCCGCCCTACTGCACAGAGGATGCTGGCTAACCTCACGCCCAACCTCGTCCAAAGGTAGGAGACAAACCACCTTCTCATTGCTTCTACCTTGAAGCTAACAACGTGAGTGCCGCCGAGACTCGGGCACCGGGTCCTCTCCTTCTACGGGGCAAAGAAAGGAATGAAGGCTCACCTTGGTCACTGCGAGGGCGGCGTGCCGCCGCCGGACGACGCGGTGTAGAAGCCGAAGGGGCGCTGCGCGGGAGCCCAAAGCGACGTTCAAGGGCAGCGACGACGACGACGACGCCAAGGTGCGGCCGGGGAGCGCGCGCTGGCGGGTGTGGAGTGGTGATGCTGCGACTTGCAGGCGCGGTGCTGTTGGTGACGCGGGCGTGCGCCGGCGGCGCGGACACGCGTGCAGGCCGACGAGGCGGCGAACGCCGCCCCGTCGCTGTGATGCGGTTTGTTGGTGGTGGAGCGGCGCGCCCGGGCCCCGAGCGCAGCGCACGGGCAGCGGGCGCGCGGGCTTGCGCAGGGCGGCGGCTGCCGCCGTGCCCGGTGCCGCGGGCCCAGCGGCCCGCAGGCGCGGCGCCCGGCCCCGCCGCACGCACCGTGTTGACGCCCGGCAGCGCCACGCCCCCCACCGGCAGCCCGCCCGACCCTAGTGACCCCGCGCCGCCACCACCGCCGCCGCCGCTGGCCCCCGACGGCGACGACGACGAGCCGCCACCGCGCCCGCCCACCTCCTGGAGGCTCGGTACGCCTGCGGACACAACGCACAAGAAGTGAAGGCAGTTGCATGCTGCTGTGAAGAGATCAGTTGAAATATTGAAGAGAAGTTCAATCCATAATGTTCTGTTAAAACTAGGTTACTCTATTCTTTAGAATTCAAATGAACCCCATTTTAACCAATGTCATCACGTCGACCATGCTCCACACTTACTTAGTCTCTTGAAATTTATTATACATTGGCACCTTATTTGTTACGCGGAAGTTGCGATCAGCCATCTGAACTAGAAATCATTGAGAAGTGGGTTTCAAACATGTACAGCGACAGGGGTCATAGCTGTCAAAGAAATACGATAAATAATTTACCGTCAAGTAATTTTTCGATAACGTAAACCAGATTTTTTTGTGGCGTAAAAATAGATTTACAAAAAATATACACTCGTATACAATGTACACATGACATTAAATTGAATTTTGTACGTTACCACCAGAGTTTTTACGGTAAACTTAATATTCACAATGCATTATAAATGCGACTTCAACAAATCACAAAATATGAGTTCCTGAATTCAATAAAACTCCCATCAGATCTAAAGACACACACCTAAAGATTACGTTCTAAAACAATGCCAGCGAAACCTGAATTGACATTTAGTCTCTTTCTCAAAATTGCCTTCTAATTCCCAAATAATAGGCAACGAACATACATTTTGTTTTTGGCCAACAGCGTAGTCTGCCTTCCCGTACGATTTAAATTATTCCCTTTGTGGTCTCCGCCCAAACCACTCGACGTAGATGGGACTTTAACGAAGACGACAGGTGAGGTGGTGATAGCGAGAGAGGTCGGCGACTCGCTTCTACGCACCTGAATCGCACCGGGTCGGGAGCGGACGGTGTGGCGCGCCCATAACATACGCCGGGCGGGCAAAACGGTTACACGTTTAGGGCGCGGGGCGGGCGGCGGAGGTATATTTAAGGCGGCCGTTAAGCGGCGCGGGCGATACTTAATGAGCTCCTAATTCACCGAGCGAGGCTCTTGAAAACGAGACGCACGCGGGGGTGTGGGGTGGGTGGGGGGAAAACGGCCACCGGCGGAGCGTGTTTCTAAGCCTATGCGCGTTTATTTTTATAACGCCGGCAATAAAATACCAAAAAGGAAGATCCGACAAAGTCGAGCCGTTGTTCGAAGCTCAACACCGCAGAATTGTAAATAATAAACAAACGTGCGGTGAAGAGGGCAGCCTGTGTAGGCACGATACAATAATGAATGGTGTGGTTGCTATTAAAGAACAGCATAATTCGGGTACTGCCGCATCATGCACTTCTGAGTCAATACGAAATGATTTTTAGTTCCTATGATTGGATTGAAACTTGGAAACGTCCTAGTTTAGAATGAAGTTCGTTCATCTGAGTGTGCTCAAATCTTACAGGAGCGGAACCAATCCCTTAAACCCACGACACCATGACGGAGGATCAACACAGCTTGGTTCGTATTTTTCATGTGAACTGACATGGATTGTTCATCAAATTTTAGAGTATTGTTTAATGCCACTATTACATTTTTAAATTGCCAATATTTGTTGTTTTTACAAATCTTAAGTAGGGTTACGTATTTTTCAGTTTTTAATTTAAAGAACGCCAAAACCTATGACCAAAATATACTCATTGTTTTTGTACGAAATTTTAATTTATAAATATTGGTCAAACATTTATAAATTTTTACTTTCTTGTTTAACTTTACTACATAACAGCCGTTAACTGCAATTACTACCAATCTCTTCGTGTTTAATACTATCTCATTTTACTTTTACACTGAGGTTAATACTGACTGTGTAGCAAATAAAAAGGTGAATATCTCATGTCCTGCGATTCCAGACAATTGTGGCAAATCTTAATGTGAAGTGAATATCTGCAATTTTATAAAATAGATATTCAAATGATCTCGTATTACTATTACTTCTCGCGTACTACTACTTACGTTGCATAGAGACAGTTAAGTAATGCTGTAGGCGAAAAAGAACGTTTTCTCGCCCAATGAAGTCGTATTGTAGGACCCTGTTCCCTGTTGTATAATTCAGGTTCCTACACGCAGTACATTGTAATTTACATGTAAATTACTCCTCGCTGTGTAGCCACAAGCAAACTTTTGTGGGTCCTTGGGAAAAATTGGTTTACGACAAAACGTCCGCCCACCCTTCGTCTGAGAACAAAATTATCAGACAAACCATAGGCAGGATTTTCATCAAAAGATAATTTTCCCTCATCGATCTGGCAGGTGTCGCGGCCCCTTGAAATCGTAACGGAAATTTTGATTTTTAGTTTACATGAAGGCAAATGACATTTTCTGAAAAATCTCGAAAGTGTCTACACATTTTGTTAATTTTTTTCCCTTCAGACAGAGCAAAGTACTACTATAAAAATAGCGCAGATCCTACTTTCACTAAATTATCTGAATATTCGAAAATTGCAAAATATTTTTTTTAGCGTTTTCCACAACTACATTGAAAATAGGGATATTTTATCTTAATGATATGTTATTCACGATTAGATCCTTAAGTAAAGCCAGGGACGCTTTTTTTAAAAATAATATATTTTTTGAAGTAGTTTTTGCGTAATTTTGCATGAAATAAGACGAATTTTTAGAAACACGATTTTGTTTAAAAAACGCTTTCAAGTTTGTTTCATTAACCTTTTTGAAGGGATACAGTCACGTGCAGTTAATAACATGATAAACTAGTTGGTGAAACCTTTTCATTTTTCAAAAATTACAAAAGTTCCAGTAGTACTATTATATTATATGAATCCAGTAACACAATGAGACGTGCTTTAGGAACCACTAGTTTTAACAAGAGCTGATATGAAAACTGAATAATATTGACGATAAAAAACAAATTAAGATGCCAATGTTTGAAACCTTTTTTAGAAAGAATTTTCGTTTTCACTTACAATGATAATTTGGCAATACACTATTAAGGCCAGCGGATCTCTCTTCACTTGGTTTTTATCAGTCTCTCCAAAGAAATCCTTCATATTTGTGAAATATAAGCTAAGATAACTGCAACGAATTATTTGATTAATGGAAAGTTTTATCATTGTTTTAGGAATATCAGAAAAACGAGTACAGGAGACGACTAGTTACGCCTGTATAAAAAACCTAAACTGGCTTAATCAACCACTCGCGATACTTAAGCAAATAAAAAAAAAAAATTAAAGATGTCGCTGTGGCTTCGAGTAAAGTAGCTCACAAAATTAAAATATCAGGTACAAATTCAAGGGGCTGCGACATCAGCGGGATCGATTTTGGAGAAACTGGCTGAACGTTTTAGCCGCTAGCGTTGTTCACAGACGGTCAGACAGATGCACAGACGAACACACGGATGGACAGTCGGATGTACAGATGGCCGGACAAACGTTTTGTCGTCATTCGATTTTTCGTTAACAAGGGGTCACGGGACATGGATTCTGGCTACAATACATTTTCCCCCTAAATTTAGCATTTGGATTTATGTACTTTTTCGTTACTAGGGCTCTGTAATAACAGATTTTCTACCGAAAATTGGCAGTTTTTTTGCGCTGCGTTACATAACTTTCTCTGTACACCGTAGCGAAAAAGTAAAACGACGACACGTCGAGAATACGTTGGGACGGGAACGGAAGAGAGATGGAGTAAGTGGTCTAGATGGGAGGGGGAAGGGGGTTGGGTGCGGTGGAATGGTATAGTTCCAATTTTACGAACCGAATACACTGGGCACCTCCCTCTTCCGTCTTAAACAGCCGCTAAGCAGCCGCCCTACCGCCATCACTGCTCAGCGCTTCCGGCCAGTGATTTCCGTTTCGAAACGGATCTCACGGCCGGGCCACCCTCGAGCCCTCGCCGCCTTCCCCAGAGGGGCACCTCGCGCCCGCGCTCAAATCTACCAACCGCCTGGCCATCTGCCAGCCAGAGAAGACAGCCAGCCCGCCCGCCCTCCCGCCCGCCGCCGCTCCGATAATGTTCTTTTTGTTTCCACGAAGCAAAAAGATACACGGGCGGAGAAAAAAAGGGCGAAAACGATTCCACTATTTCAACGGAAACTTTATAGGTAATCAGATGTATGCCGCGCGGCCGGGCAGGTGCCCGCGAGATTTTTATGCAGCTCTTGCCCGCCGCCTACCTCGCATTTATGGTGAATATAAATAACGAGGCGAAAGGAGAGGTCTGGGTTGGGGAGGAGAAGGACGGAGGATGCCACTCCGGCATACGAGCTATCAGCTTCAAATAACAATACACGCGTTGTTAAAAGGCTCTTGCAGCAATACGACGTAATGTACAAAATGTTTAACATTGGAGACGTCAGAATGCTCGATTTGCTGGCAGACCGCAAGGGAGAAGAACTCAATTGAAAACTAAGGATTCTCATGCGGATGTAGTCAGTTGCTGCGCGCAACACAACACGCTGATTGCAAAGCAACACGACACTAACCTTGTAGAACATTTCGATGACATTTCAATATCTAGAACGGTTTAAAAAATATTTGGGGACTTCGCATTGGAATTGGGACTCCTGAATAACGTCTCCACTACAGCAGACACGAACAAAAAGGATTTAGAATTAAGTGAGCATCTATTATAATCCTTTTAGAGTTTCGCGATTCAAAAAATAGACAAATGAAATCTGAGCGAAGAAACAGCTGTCGACTGCATCTGAAATAACGTATTAGCGGCAGCGCGCGCTATTGCTTTTACCCGGAACTAATGTGCGGGCGATCGAGGCTAACTGGTCCATTCGGGGGTAGCAGTCGGAAGAGCGTGAAGCTGGGTGGAGCGG